AAACAACAATTTTTGTGGTACTTTTCGAGAACATGGGCAGTCAGAACAGTGTCCCCAGGACAGGGTTTGAAAAACTTTTATTCACAACACCTTCAGTAATTTCCATCACTGTTGCCTGGTGTCCAAGATATCTCACCAGATATCAGCAAAGAATACGGAGGTAAATTCAGTCCTGGGGAAATGAACTACTGCTAAAATCCATTTTAGCAACACCTATTTCACCACTGTAAAAAAAAAATAAAAAAATCCTGTTTTAAATTTTCAGGTCCCTTTTCAATCTTAGAGGAGGTGGCCACAAGGTCTTACTGATTTCCCTCCCACCCTTCATGCTGTGGTAAAAATCTCCCAAGCTATTTGCTTTGTAATATCTGCAAAGCAGATTTAAGAAATTAGAGAAGTTACCTCCTGGCCAGTTTTATTTATCTTTTACAGCTAAGAGAGGCTATATGAGCATTGTTGGAGCCTATTCGACCACCCTTTGTGATCTCTCCAGCTGAGCAAGGCAGGGAATAAGACTCATCTGTTCACCTCATGTTGATTTGTCATTTGACATCTGTGTCAGAGCAACACCCTGTAAGAGCAGACACTTTGATGCCACTGCAGCTTTATCTCTGTCAGAACTAGAGCTGGGTGGACCATTTACTGTGAATAATTTATTCAGCAGATTTCACCCATTCTTCAGTTTAAGAGTTCTCTATACATGTTCTAATTAAAAGAGATAATTGGCTTAATACCCAAACACTTCATTCTTACTTGTTCCCTTTGTCCAGAGGTGTCCTGAATAAAGGCAGGGTGAAGTCCTGATGCCACTTAAGACACTGAAACCCACTCTTCTTGATTTCACTAAGGTCAGGATCTCAGTCAAGGTCCCTCAAGCAAGAAACCTCCAGTTTAGATTGTGATATACCACAAATGAGGTCCATAATTAAACAGTGGGAAGGAACAAAAGATACAGAGTGAGGGATGGAGTAATAGGATATTTAAATATCATCATGATAGCTCTATTGAAAAAAAAAGTGAAATAGGCGATAGAGATTATTTAAAGAAGGATGATATTCGGGAGGGCTCAGGGTAGGATTTTATTCCCCTACAAGGATCAGACAAATATGTGAACATACTTTTGTGACTGCAATTATTTGAACAAGTGCAGTTTGCATTGACTTCCTCCCTCTACCCCCTCCTTTCCTCTCCTCTGCCTACACCTTGTTTGTTAACCAAAATCAAAACCCTCTTGGTAAATGAATTCTCCACTCTTTAGTGTATAAGAAATTCATTAATCAATACCGAATATATAATTCAATATATAATTAAAGATAAAATGTCATTACTGGAGTAGCAGTTCTGTTCAACTATATAATAATCTATTTCTGAAAGCATCTCTACCCTGCATGCACCTAGCAAGGATGGGTGCCTGAAGGCAGTATTGAACTATATTCTCTGAAATGCCTAGTGTTTTTGCTAGCAATTTCAAACTCCTCTGTACTTCAACATTCAGTCACTAAAGTATGCTGCTTAAATTATTAAATCCTTTTAATTTAAATTTTCATAAGCTACCAGAGGAAAAATGTGCGTCCTTAAAGTAACAGGTCTGGCTTCTTGCAAGGAAAACCATGGTATTAGTATTGCTTTTATGCAGTATTAACACCCCCTTAGGAAAATAACAAAATAAATTATTTCATTAAGGAGTAAAATGTGGAGGGCAGATGGTTTAAAAAAAAAAAAAATCCTTTTGAAAATGTCTTGGTTTAGGACCACCCAAAATTAGAACAAAAACGGGATAAACTACCTATTATCTTAATCCCTAAAAGACTGAGATATCAGAGGAGAGTTATTAATCAAAAAATGGGAGACCTCATTAGATCAAAATTTTTGGAAAAGATGAAAAAAAATATCTCCAAGATTTATTATATTGATCCACAAACAATGTTACTTTGAAAAATTTGGAATATGTTTTTACTTTAATGTATTTTTACTGAAAAAGATGTTGCAACTGCTATTGGCTTGTTTCCTAGTGATGCTTTAATCTCATCTAAAATACTGCACTTCTGTTGCAGACTCTGCAGTAGGGATGGGACAATGGACGGAATACTCTATTTAATTTAGTGTGAAATATATATAGTGTTAAATACTGAAACATTCATCTGTTTTCTCTGTGAAGAGAGAGATGATTTATCCCAGAGAGTGATTGATTCAATAAAAAATATTGATAATTAGACCACATAGGAGTTTTTCAACCAAAAGACTTCTATATTTGAAAGTTGAACTGCTAAATACTACCATTTTTCACCAAATACTGGATTGCACAAAATTTTGATAAGTTTTAGATTTTGCAACCAATCTTACACTAGAAGGAAATTAAAATGCCAGTTGTATAGTTCTATAAGGAAATATAATCAAAGTTTGATAGATAATTTATAAAATAAATATGTTTATATATTATTGTGGGTTAATAGGGGATGGAAGAACTTGTATCTGAAATCAGAAAAAGGTACATAACCTTGTAAGAGGAGTCTGAGGGAAAAAGACCTGTTATGGTCACCAAGTCCGACTGCCCCTACAAAGCTTTCATTTTTTTGGGTGAAAACTGAGCCACCTGAGTTTCAGGCATGTGTTTTTTGGGGTAAATAATTTGTTTATACTGAAAGGACTTAAGGGAACAAGTGACCAAAGAAAAGGGATAAAAATGAAAGGATTAAAAAAAACAAAAATTGAAGAAATTATCCAGAAAAAAAAGGGCATCATTTAAATCACCAGACTTTGTGGAATACACAGATGTGATATAGAAATCGTTCAAGTAACATTCATTTTAATGGTACTTAAGCGTTTCAAGAGATTTTGTATATTTTAAATTTGAGGTTTATCAGATGAAAAGCATGGTTGGTTCTACCTTTGTTGATCAAATCTTTCTGGATATCATAATTCTATGGCAGTCTAAATATAGACAATATTTAAAACATTTGTATCACTCAATTTCATCTGACCTATACTGCAGTTACCAGCTCACTATTTACATAACCTTCTGTTTTATTTAGGAATTTTCTCCTGCAAACACAATTGCTAACACTATATTTTAATTTTCACTTGAATAAATTTGTAAAAATTTTAGAATTGATTAGCTGAAAATCCTTGAATTTTTTTCCCTAATATTTTAAGTTCATCTGAATGAGATATTGATGAGATATGAATTCCTCACCAACAATCCTGTAACCAAAATCAGGTTTATAAATACAAAAAACCAAATAGCTCAACATATACATAAATTTCAGTACACAGATCAGGAACCTGTTGAATCTGAAATGGTTTTTTGTAGTGGTTAAATTGCAGCCATATTATCTAAGCTACCATCAAAAGTTGTCCCTAAACAGACAGAAGACCTGCAGAGGAAACAGGAGTAAGTTCTTCTGACTTTCACTATTAGTAGGATACCAGTTTCCTGTCTGACTGCTGAAAATCTTCCCAGTATCTCATGTGGTTTCATTCACTTTTTCTACATAAAGAGTTAGAGGAGAAAGAGGAATGAGAAAAGACCCAGTTGGAAAAAACCACAAACAAAACATAACCCCCCCAAGAACCCCACAAAATCAGTTATGATATTAACAGCTTAGCTGGAGATGATTTTTCTTTATGTAAGTAGTAGATACTGCAACCTGGCCAGCTGGTTCATATACAGCAGAGATGACTTGCTCAGACAACATTTCAGCTACTGTCACCCCTCCCAGTGCAGGAGATGAGAACAAACCTTTATTCACAAACCTCTTGTACCAGATGCATTTGAAAAACAACTTGTGTTCGCTTATGGCTGTTCTTAACTAGGGTATACAAACATTTCCAGAATATGTGCACACACTGCAAGTGATGTACATGTTTCCAGGCTTTGGTAATTACTCTTCATGAAATGGCTTTTGGGTGCCCTTTGTCCACTTGCCCTCCCTCAATGATTTTCAATGACTTTGCTTCTTCTCTGCCTTTTTCCAGTTTCCCCAGTATCTCCTGGGATATTAGTTTCTGACTGATTTCTTCTTTGCTTATACACTACCAACATCAAGGGATTTTGCTAGCTAATATAGGATTGAAACTTTAGCAATTACCACCTACTGCTGTATTATAAAAAGCAAAGGTGTATAGAACAGCAAGAATTCTCTGTCAAAGTTGTAAGCAAATACACAGTCTTATAAAGTTCAATTATTTTCCACTGAAAGAAAAATGGAAAGGATTAAAAGTGCTGGGCAACATGAAATCTGCACCATACACACAACAGAACTCCATTTCATTTTCTAAGGAAACAGTTATGTTTTCAGAAGTAACCATTTACATAATACAACACATCAACATACAAACTGCACAAGTGCCTTTATTCTAAGTGTTTCTGAAAGAAATTTATCTGAATTTTTGATTTTTGCTTTTCTAAATGTAGTATGCATTACTAAGAAGAAGCCAAGGGGAAAATCTGCTCCTTCTCCCAAGTAGTCATGGAGCTTATATTTACACAGGAAAAAAATCACTGGCTGATTTGCAAAGTTGTTTGGGAATGCACCCTATACAAGATGTTCAAGTCCATCCTACTTTTCCACACCCTCACACAAACCATACGCTCTCTAATACTTCCAAAGAATGAAAAAGCTACATTAGTAACTATAATTTCTAACTTCAGTCATTTCTTTTTTTCCTAGAGTTCCTGCCCAGGGGACATTGAAAATTCTTAGGAATAGGACCTGTATTAAACAGGAATTATGTGTCTCTACCAGTCTTTGCTAGATCAGCAAAAAAAGCTGCAACCCAAAAAAACTAACCCAAAAACCAGAAATAAAAATCTGTTCTATCAAAGGATGGTCACAGAGGACCACACAGCAGTAACAGATCTCCAGACTCTGACAGCCCAGTTCACACAGCAACATGTTACCTCACATGTAAAGCATCATCATAATAACAGAATTTGCAAAGTAATGTTATTTTTCACATTGTGGTAACTTTATGATGCTCTTTTCTGTTGTCTCTTACAGTTATGAACTCTTCTTTGGTAACAATAATGGAGAAAGAAGCAATTTATTGTTCAAGGGGAGTGAACATGATATAGCTTAAGTCTTCATTTTGCTTTCTTTCCAATAGACATGATACAGAGAATAAAATGTCCATTTAAATACACAAGTATATGTAAAGATACATTTCTCTCTCTGGAAAGAACAGTGAGGCAGAGCATTAATTTGGTCTCCAAAATACCAGGAGTCACAAAACTGTCTGCTTGTGTCATCCTTTGATTCATGGTTCAAGAAATGCAGTTAAATAATCGTTGCTCCAGATTCCCTAATTTTTCATGAAATTCACTCACAAGTTGTTTGAAGAAAGAGCTAAATAATAATAAATTAATTCAGATGTTTATTCCCTTTCTTTAAATAGTTTTTCAGCATTTTAAAATCAGAAACTGACATTCATGAAAAAGATGTATTTAAGAAAAGACCATGCACTGGTCTTAAAACCAAAGAGTTTACTGTTCTCTGGAGTAAGGTTTTTTTTTATTAGTATTTCTTCCCTCTTTAATTGAATTAAACAACAACAACAAAAAAAAGGCAACCAAAATTATGAAGACCACCAGCGCTGCGAAAAAAAAGAAAATGTCTCCCAGGGTTTTCAGTTCTCTTCCCTCAATGTTCTGGAGTCCAGATGTGGAAAGCCCAGTGGAGCTGAAAACATTTTTGGAGGGTGGAGAGAAAGTTTTGATGCTACTGCTGTAGCCTTATTTTATCCAAACCAGATAATTATCTTTCTTTGTGAAGATTAAAAAGCCAAACAACAACAACAACAAATTCCACCTTTTGTATACTGTTACTAAACATTATTTTTAAGTGAGCCTGCTAAAGAAAAATAAACTCTGCATCTTCTTAGCACTTAGAAGCAAAGAAGGCCTTTGCAAGGCCTTCTTCCTAACTCAGAGTAGAACATACAGCGTATTCATCTTCTCTGAAATCCTGTTGGTCAGGTGTGTGAGTCTATTTTTAAGATATATATTTTCCTGCTCACATATCAAGCAAACACATATTGATTTGCTGCAGCCATACCAGGTCACAGGCTACAGAGGAATGTTTCCATATCTTATGCAGCTACACCTGGAATATGGTGTTCAGCTAAGTGATGACAAGGGTGGTCAGTGAGGTGATGATAAAAGTTTATAAATAGCTTAAGAGGGTGAACTCCAAAGAGGAAGAAGCATTGTTTTAAGGTGGACTGAACAAGCTTGACTGGTAAAAACAAAAAGATGTCCTGACACCCAGGGCCAGGCATAAGGTGCTGAATAAGACCTTGTACATGGTACAATTGCCAGCAGAGCAGTCTGTGCTTGGTCTTGCATACACCACAGACATACAATGAATTTACTATTCCAGATTAATTATTCTGGTAAATTTCCAAGCACTTCAACTGCTAAATTAGGCCCCAAGTTCAACAGTCCACCAACAGGAACCACACATTGGGTGTATTTAGAGCTACATGAGACATAGCCCCGGAAACACAAAAGAGGAAATAAATCTGCCCAGACAGAAGGATGGACACAAAACCTGACAAATCTGTCGCACCTCTATTTTCTGTAGTTCTAGGAAAACATGCATGTGGGATTTGGGAAAGGTCTTTTTAATAAGGGTTAATTGGAGAAGTATGTCACACATGACTGAGTACCGTTTCAAATTACTGCTCACGCTGGCATAACTAAATCAGACAAATGACAGAATACCAAAATAGGGGATAGTCAATCTTCTTCCCTTCTATTTAATCTTTAAAGCTTCATTATTCTCAAATATCAGCAATTATAGATTTTATGGAATTGGTTACTTCTTTAAAAATATTGTTATGACCATATAATAATATTCCCTAGAGATCCAGAGTTCTGTAAAATCTTTCCTCTGTTGTTGAATTATTAGTCTAGGCTTTGGAACTGCTGGTCTCATTTATGTGCCTTATGTGATGCAAAATTCAAGAGAAATGATCCTGATACAGTCCTTTCTAAGCTTAAAACAAACAAACAAACAAACCAAAACCAAAACAACAACAACAAAAAAAACCAAATTGGAAAAGAGAGAACAACCACACTTTAGCAAACCAGATTAGTTATTCCTGTAAAAATCATTGTACAGTCTCTAACACTGTATTACTCTAAAAGTCAGGTCCCTATCCCTGAACCTGAAAAAGTCACTTCAGTTTCTCTCTGCTGCCCGAGTTAACTGCAAGCATTTCCTGACACTAGGAATGCAGGCAGAAAAAGGAAAAACGTCGACTTGAGAAAAGCACAGCTTCCAATCCCCACCCACCAGCTTCAGTCAAAGGGATGACTTCAGTGCCTTTCTTAACTAATCCTGTCACTGTAAAATCCTACAGTCATTCTTCCACACATAAAGGGAAAACGGACTCACTAGGAGGACCTAGACTCTTTCAGCTTGAACTGTTAACCAATGGTGGAAATGCAAGAATGCTGAAGTTGTGCCTTCAGAGCCAATAGAGTGGATTTGTGTGTCCCACATGACTGTGTTTCCTCTGTCTTTCACATGGGCAGTATTTAGTTCAATTCAGAACTGCAGATAGTATAGCGTGCAGAGCAGCAATGGGATGTCTGAGCACAAGTGGCTGACTTCCAGGCGACTTCAGGAAGCACATTTGTACATTTCTCCTGAATTTAACTGGGATTCTGCACCCTTGACACCCTCTGACCCTCCTTGTCTCTGCAGAAGGAGACAGCGACCTGCACAGCACAACAAAACTGTGAGTACCGGGACTATTTCTTTTTATTTTCATGCAGGAAAGCAAATATATTAAAAATGTCAAAATGTTACGTCCATTAAATCAGTGATTACTTTTCTTATGCGATGAGCAAGTATCTAAAGTGATATTAAAATTCAGGAATATTTCTTGCATGCTTCAATAAGAGAAAGGAAAAAAAAAAAAAAGAAAAAAGAAAAAGCGAGTTATCCTCCAGGGCAGTGCCTGCATGCACACTGCATGACACACTGCTTCCTGACATAGCCAGCGTGCTGCTTTGTTCATAAAGAAAAACAAAGACAAAAAGCCCTACACACGTATGTTGTTCACTTTTATTTGTACTCTGTGTCTAATCAGGCCTGATCTGTCCCCAAGGGGAAAACATAAAGGCAAACTTTAACTCCGCCAGCAAGGGCAGCCCAGACTTTCCAGACATCTGACAGTTATTATAATTAGCTATGAAAGACAGCAAAGACACTTTGGGGCAAATAGCTCTTACATTTGGAACAATGAAGTCGAGCAAGGTTCCCATCCCACCCCTTCCACGGGGGGAGGGGGAGAGGCGAGCCAACGGGGGGAGTGTTAGAAAGGGTTATGGCTGGACTGAAAAAACACTAGTATAATATCTGGACTCACTCAGCATGAGGAGAGGCTTTTTGATAAGCAACTTTACCTCTAGATTGCGGCTTGCATTCACTCAGATTCCTGGTGGGGTGGGAAAGGGTGTGGGGCTCTTCACGGTATAATGTCAGAAAGTCGGGGTGGAGGGGGCAGTGGAGATGAAGGGGGCAGAAAGAAGAGAATATCCATAGCAAGAGACATTGAAATTGCTTCCCAGAGCTTTACTGGTCAGATCTCCTTGAGCTCAAGTTGCTTTCTGGGCAAGATTTATGAGAGTTCTCAAACAGAAGCAACAGACAAAGCAGTGCTTTTTTTCTTCTTTCCCGGAAAAGAAATTGAACCCAAACGAATAACTGTATAATGAACAGCACTGATTTGTATTTTTGCTTTTTTTTCCTTCACGTGCTCATTAGATCTTTAATAAGATCTTTCCCTCCTGCCTGCACAATCCTTCCCACCCCCCCTTCCCTACTAAAAGTTGGATTCTGAAAACTACGATCAGAAGGGAAAAAGCAAAGACAATAGAAATCTGACTCAGTCCTGGTTGGGCAGGATCTCTAATAATGCATGAAGTGAAAACAGTTTTTAAGTGAAAGATGAGCAGACTTCTTTAAAAAAAAATAAAAAATTAAGTGCAATAAAGAGAAATTGTTGAAAGACTCCAGACGCTACTAATTATGGCTTAAATAAATCTTCCTGGACAGATGTTTGCTTGCTCCCGCTGCAGGGACAGGAACGTTAAAAGAAGCATTTTTTTAAAAACAAGGATTTGACGTGAATTTTTTTTACATATGATTTCTTTTTTTTTTTTTTTAAATACACCATTTTATTCTTTGTCTGCCCTCCTGTTATCTCCCCCTCCCCCAACCGCCGCCCACTGTGAGCTGAGACACCTGAAGGCTAGACACAATGATCAACAGAGCACTGCGCTCGCCTGTCTGGATTCCAGCCAGATTTTTTTTTTTTCCCCCTCCACAATCAAGGAGCCTGCACGCAATGCACGGCAAGCCCCTTGCTCTGCTATGTGCAGATCAGACAGAAGTCTGAACCGTGCTGCAGAAAGATTAAAGCCAAACACAAGCCTTTCCTCCTTATGTCGGCCAGGCTCGGTTTCAACTTTGTTATGATTCGCAAAAAATACAAAATAAGAAACTTTGTAAACATATATACACATTATTGTACAAAACATACGCACATGTACACACACTTTCCAACACAGTGTAAACAGGGGCATCCAATGTTTCCCATTTTACTGTGATTTCTACTCTAGCTTTACAGTCAATGCAGTATTTTATGTTAAGTTCATGCATCACTTACATAATTGCCGTGTAGCTCTCAAATACTAGGTAAAGATTTTGTGTATGCATATGATATATTACATAAAGGCAAATAGCTACTGTCCAGATACCCATGCCTGAATGCCCATCAAACTGAAATATTTGAAAACATTTGGGTTTAGATAGATTAGCGAGAGCTCCCAGACAGTTTTATGGTAGTTTTAAACAAGGCAGTAGCAAAATGCTTTGTAAGTAGGTTGTCTTCAAATGAAGAAGGGGAGCGTGGCAGGGGACTAGTTAGCTGGCCTTGCAACCCCTGGCCTTCCTGTTGCCACAGACCAGAGAAATGCCAACTGGCCCAGTGTCATCGTGCCAGAAAGTTGGTTTTGGGAATGCAGTACTCCCCAAAATAGTTGCT